GCTGTTTATCGCTCTGTCTAGCAAATTGTCTTTAATTGTCTTTTTCTCTTTCTCCCTAGCCCTAGCTCTCTCTCTATCTCTCTCTTTCTATTTAATTTTTTCTTTCCATTTCCCTTTTTAGCTATAGCTCTCTTTATCCATTTATCTATCTAACTTTCTAGTTCCTTCTTTCTTTTTATGTCTTTTCCTCTATTTCTAGCTTTCACTCTTTTTCTACCACTTCAGCTCTAGTGCTCTCTCTTTAGCCATCTAGCTCTCAAACTCTCAAACTCTCAAATTCTCAAGTTATTCGGCCATCGAGCGATCTCTCACTTTCTTTAGCTCCAGCTCACCCTCTCTTTCTCTTTTTCCTTCTTTCTGTCAGGCTCCTGGTCTAGCTCTCTTTCTCCTTTTCTCTGTCTCTGTCTCCCTCTCCCGCCAGCTCTCTCTCTCTCTTCCCCTCAGTACTTGCTCACCGATGAGTACCTGTTGAGAAATAAGTGTCTTTGCAAGAATGTTTTGGCTGGCGCCTGTCAGACAGTTTGTTGATGCCGAGGCCAGTGTTTACACGAGCATTACGCTCCGGGCAACAATAGCCACTTGGCTCAATCTCATCTGATCTCAGAATTAGTCGCTAAATCGGTGCCTATTCCTTTTTTGTATGTCAATCGAGTTTCGAGACCACATTTACGGACTGCCAGTGTTTCTTCCATCTCATCTTTATCGCCTCCCCAACTTGCACCTATTCCTCGAGCGCCCAACCAACGACACATTAAAAGCTTCTCACAAAACTTATTCGCTTGACAGGCTTGCTTCAAGCAAATGATCAAGAAATTTGTATATTTTAATGTGTTGCATGAAAATCAATGTAAGCGAGATCTACTGCTGGAATAAATTTATTGGTGGTTTGATTTATTCGACAAGTTTGTAAAGGCTTGTTTGGAGAATTGACAAGTTGACTGGGAACATTTCCTCTTGTGGCCATGGGAAAATTGAGATTTGATTCAGCACACTTTCTTCTTTGGGGCAACTTTACGCGTTTCCACATCTCGCAAATGCTACTGCATAAGCATCTCCCGATTCGCCTGATAGATGCGTATGTGTGCATGCGTACGTTTGTGGGCGGGAGGGTGAGGTGTGCTGCATTCCTCTCCAACGGTCCATGTCCAACAGAGCCTACAAGAAGAAAGTTGTGGACAAATTTTTGGTGTTGGCCAATCTACAGCAACCGGCTCACACGGTTGGCTTTATTTACATTCACTCTGCGAGTAAACAGTTTGCACGACGGAGGTGAAGCCAAGTGTATCTGGTACGGTTGAAATTGTAATTTGGCATTCAGTTCACATAGTGCTTACGGCAAAGTGGAATTAGGCAATAAATATTGGGATTAAGTTATTATCTGTTTCGCAAGCAGCCTGGCCCGGCGCGTGGATCAAGCCGATGGGCCGGCTTTAGACAGAATTTATGGTCTGGAATAGATTAATTCGCGTGTCCCATCCCAAATCGCTCGCCTCCGCTGCACGAACCATCCTGGCTGCGGCCCGATTGCAGTCGTTTGCTGCTCATTTGCCCTTTGGCGAAATTATTTGCCCAATTCTCCCACATAATCTGACCATTCCGCCCAAGCTAGGCCGGTTGCCTTGACAAGGAAGCGTTGCACACTTGCCACTTTTGTGCACTGTTGTCTGGATAAAGTGGAGAAGTGAGGCTTTTTTGCTTGACCAAGTGCCACTGGCGGTGGAGAGTTGTTTGCCCGTCTTGATCCGTCCACCGGTTGCATAGAGCTGGCCAAAGTGGCCATCTTGATCATGCATGCTGAAGAGATCACTCAACCTGACCCAGACAGGCCTTTACTCCCACTCGAACTTATCTCTTCCAACAGGACATCTCCTCTCAACGGCTGGAGTGGGATTTCGACTTGCTATGCTTGCGCAATGCCCTCATTTTGGGTGGCATTCGAAAGCGAGTTGCTCAATCGCTCGCAGCGCCCACGACGCTAACTTGTCGCTTGACTCGGCGCACATTCACGCTCGCCGGGAAACATTGAGACGGCAGACCAATGCTCTGTCGCCTCCCGAAAGAGTAAGCTGGCACCAAAGTATGCCTGCTGAAGACATTCTCAGGTCGACCCCAATGGAATCGTTCGCACTTGTTTTACTGCTTACACACTCGTTCTACACTTCAGTAAAGCTGGGCAAGTCAAATATGCCTACG